GACAAACTGCAACCGAGGTACGTGCCCTTAGTGGGAACCGAACCCGGGTCTCTCCGGACCGCAGGCCGAAGCTCTAACCGCTGAGCCAAACCGGCCAGGGCCAGACTAGTTTTCTTAAGTCTTCAGGAAATAAGTCTCCCTCCTTTCACCTTTTTATCTTAACATTTTCAATTTTGAAAAACAAAGTACTGGGACAATTTTGTTTTGCAAACATCAGGTGTACTTGAAGCCCCCAAGTAGGCCCAGGTGCCCCCCAGAAGCGTGGTGGATTCACAGGCATACACATTTATTCTGGAGACGAACTGGACAGTGTTTGGTCTGGAATGTGTTGAGGAAAAGGCAAACTGCAAGTGTGGGCGGACAGGACGGGTGGCATCGTCTCAGGCACATGCAAAGCTCCGGGCACTGCTGTTAGAAGACCTCCCTTTCATCCGCCAGAGGTGCCTGCGCGGCCCTGGAGGCATCTTATTTCTCTGCGGGGAAGCGGGAGGAGCTGCCCCTGCCCCGTCTCATACCCACAGGAACCCCGCAGTGTGCTGTGAAAATCACACAGTGGGGGTGTTGCTGGCAGGAGCAGAGGCAATGACCCAGCTCTCCTGTCTGCACCCTGGAGTGGTGACGGTCAGCATGGCTTCTCCCGTGTGACATCGATAGTGGCCAAGACTCAGGGGGGCCACAGGGCCAGAGTGGCCAAAGCCTTAACCATACCGAGTTATCTCCATAGTGACACGGTCTTTTCTTTCTGTTCTGAACTGCTCAGGAAACAGCAAACCCCAGAGGGTTGATCAGATTCAACTAGTCTCCTTTCAGGAAGGTCCCCTGCATTGTCTCCGGTGTCCTTGGCCTTCACTGTAAAGAGGAGCCCCCCTCTCCTACCCACAATCCATCCAGGGCATGATGGACACCACGGTAGACACGTGAGCGGGATGAGATGAGTGCTGGGCAGGTAAACTGAGTCTGAGGGCCAGGTGCCTAACCCCTTTCATCAGATGGCCCGTGCTTCCCCAGTGCCAGCGTCTGGCCTGTTTAGCCAAAGGCGTCTGTCTCCTTTCACTCCGAGCTGGACTGCCAAGTTCCCAGGACACTGCTCAGGGCTCCTGGAGAGCGGGGCCCTCTCCATGGGCACTCTGGCTCCGGGGGCAGGGGCTGCCCCACCTGTGGTGGGGTTCAGACGTGACTCGAACCACTGCCATGGTCGAGAACGCAGCCGCGCCTGCTCTTCGGGCCGCGCTTCCTGCACAGTTCGGTTAAGAGGGAACAGGAAGGGACTAGCCACTCTGTTCTCCTGTGGAGCCAGGGGCACTAGGAGGTGATGAAACGGCCACGAGCAGCCCTGGCGTCGCTGTCGCTCCAACTAGGCATCTTTTCTCCAGGGTCTTGGTGGTCACGGGCACTGCCCCTCTCAGCTCCTGCCGCTTCTACCCCACCTGACACCGGAGACCCCACTGTGCTTGTTGAGGGGACCTGAGCAGTCAGACTCCAGGGTGTGGAGAAGAGGGATGCGTGCTGGTCTGTCTGGGTGGCATGCGCTCACTTTCTGACAAAGGCCAGCTTCTCTTACGGCCTCAGGGGTGAGATGAAGGTCAGGGAAGCGAGGGAGGCACAGACAGACAACTGGGAGAAAAATCCTTCCAGGACACTGTTAAGATGTAATATTCAGGTGAGAAAAAATTCACTTGCTCTAAGAAGGTGAGAAGACCAAAGGGGGGGCTTGGGGTTGGAAGGAAGCCTGTGATGGGGTCGGTGGTCCACCCGTAGCCTCGCCGCACACTCCGGCTCGAGGGCGTGTATAAGCTGGGTGCACATATGAAGCCGGGTGCTCAGCTGCTATTGGTGAAATCTGACGTCAGTGGGGTTTCAGGACTCTGCCACCTACTCGGCAGGTCTTAACAAAAGGCACATTCTGGGTTCTCTTCCCATGTTGTAATGAAGTATAAATAATACCAAATACAGTTGAAAGAGAACCTCTAGCCTTATGCCACTCAGGCTCTCAAAAGATTAAGTTCTTCCACATGGTAGTTAATTTCTCCTCTCCTTAAAACAACAGGAAGTAATCTAACTCTGGTTCACTGAGATGGTATGGACTTGCCTGATTTCAAGTTCAGGCTTCGGATGAAACCAGCCACCAGCCCCTACACTATGTAACTGAGACCTGATGTACCACAGGCCAGGCACGGCCAGCGGCCAACCCAACTGCAAGAGTGCCCTGCGGCAGGGGCCACCTTTCCCTTGTTCTGCACTTTTCAGGTAAGACATACTTTCAAACTAATTGAATATAACATGCACCCCACATATGAACTCCAGAAAATAATGCAATCACCAATAATGGAATTTGATTTCAAATGTTGCTTTCCTAACACAACTGACTGTGTATCACACACAGTACAGGAGCTGATGACTGTGCAGGCAACATTGTAGGTACCAAATTCAGGCAAATTTTCATGCCTCATGACATCTAATGATTGTTTTCTTATACTGCAGAAACCTCAGTGTTCCATTACACTTGTTAATAAGCAACATCCTACTTAACCTTCTGGAGAGATGCCTCCATTTCCTGGATTCTCTCTACAAGATTCATGCTATTGCCCTTCTGAAGGGGGCGGGTGATGCATATTCAACTCAGGTGACACTTGTTTCTTAACTGCATCTGGTGCCATCTCATAGTTTTCCAGGCTTTTTACAGATTTTGAAGAGTGACAGCCGGATTTTATGCTGGTTGCGTGTGTGGCAGATGCCAAGTGGAATTTCTGCCCAAAGGCTGAGTGCCTATGACGTATGTGGGAACAGGGTAGATCAGCTGCCTGCCTTTCAAGCTGCTCTTACACATTCCTACACCACCATCCTACAGGAGGCAGAATGGAGCTCTGGACTGTGTGTGTGTGTGTGTGTGTGTGTGTGTACACACCATCCTACAGGAGGCAGAATGGAGCTCTGGACTGTGTGTGTGTGTGTTCACACCATCCTACAGGAGGCAGAATGGAGCTCTGGACTGTGTGTGTGTGTGTGTGTGTGTGTGTGTGTATACACACCATCCTACAGGAGGCAGAATGGAGCTCTGGACTGTGTGTGTGTGTGTGTACACACCATCCTAAAGGAGGCAGAATGGAGCTCTGGACTGTGTGTGTGTGTGTGTGTGTGTGTACACACCATCCTAAAGGAGGCAGAATGGAGCTCTGGACTGTGTGTGTGTGTGTGTGTGTGTGTACACACCATCCTAAAGGAGGCAGAATGGAGCTCTGGACTGTGTGTGTATACACACCATCCTACAGGAGGCAGAATGGAGCTCTGGACTGTGTGTGTGTGTGTGTGTGTGTGTGTGTGTACACACCATCCTAAAGGAGGCAGAATGGAGCTCTGGACTGTGTGTGTGTGTGTGTGTGTGTGTGTGTGTGTGTACACACCATCCTAAAGGAGGCAGAATGGAGCTCTGGACTGTGTGTGTGTGTGTGTGTGTGTGTGTGTACACACCATCCTACAGGAGGCAGAATGGAGCTCTGGACTGTGTGTGTGTGTGTGTGTGTGTGTGTGTACACACCATCCTAAAGGAGGCAGAATGGAGCTCTGGACTGTGTGTGTGTGTGTGTGTGTGTGTGTGTACACACCATCCTAAAGGAGGCAGAATGGAGCTCTGGACTGTGTGTGTGTGTGTGTGTGTGTGTGTACACACCATCCTACAGGAGGCAGAATGGAGCTCTGGACTGTGTGTGTGTGTGTGTGTGTGTGTACACACCATCCTAAAGGAGGCAGAATGGAGCTCTGGACTGTGTGTGTGTGTGTGTGTGTGTGTGTGTGTGTGTACACACCATCCTAAAGGAGGCAGAATGGAGCTCTGAACTGTGTGTGTGTGTTGTTGTGGAGGCTATCCCTAAACATTTGGCCTGGACACAGGCAAAGTTGTGGAAGTGATGAAGATGGCCTGACCAACAGGACCTGCCAAGCTGGCCAACTGCAGGAGTAAAGCATGAGGACAAAAGTCACTGGACCATCAGCAGACCTGCAGAGATGCAGGATGGCTGGAGCTGACTGCGCAGTGCAGACTTGGCGTTGCGTGGCCACTGGGGGAGGGCTTTTGTGAAGCTGGCCTGCTTGCCTCTACAAGACAGCATCCTTGAAAAGTGGTTTGCCCTGGATTTCACACTGCACTTGCTCTATCTTGTACACCCATCCACCACATGGGTGGACAGCACGGCCTCATTTGCCTGGTCATGGCCAGTTTTAGCACTGCAAGTCCTACACCCCAGGAAATCCTTCAGTCCCCCATCACAGGTCTTTGGTTTTCAGACAGCCCTGGTCAGAGGGACAGCTTCAGGTGCCAGCTGGGCCTGGCCACGACCGGTTCTGGCCATCACTGCAGCCTGTGTCCGGCTTGCTTGGCAGGCCACCTCTTCTCACCACCCCAGATAAACAGATTCTCTTCCAGGGCCATTTCCCTCTTGTCCTCCAGATAATATTCATACAAGAACAGAGTAAAAATGTGCAGAAACAACTTATGAGAGTTGGAGGTCAGTTTAAGATTAGAAATGCATTTTTAAAAAACAGAGAGAAAGAGTAATTTGAAAACTGCATAGCTGAGAGCAGAGCTTCCGTGGGTCCCCCCTCATGAGAAGTGAGAGCAGCAAGGACAGCTCACCTCACACAAAGTGGCATCTTGTTCCTTCTGTGAGAAAGGTCCTTGAACTCTGCTGGGTGGACACCTCCTTCATGGCAAGTCTAGCCTCTAAAGTTCAGCTTTTAGCCTTGGGGGAGCCGGCTTCTCAATTTCTGAACGCTGGTGGCAAGAGGCCCCTAGATTTCTCTGGCTGGCGGGGGTTGCTGGAGGAGTGTCCAGGGAGGTTTCTGCGGGCCCCTCCCAGGGTGGAACTCAGCTGTCTTCTTCGAGAGCTGCCCCTCCAGGAAGGGACAGAGAGGAAGGGAGGAGAAGTAAAGTGCACTCTTCACCTTGGAGACAGATTCTCAATCCTCTTATTAGAAACTTTAAAAATACCTTGAAATTCACCTTGGAGGGGAAAAAACCTCTTAACGGTTAACATAAAACTCTACTACCAACAAGCAAAAGATATAGGTCATGTGACTAAGTATAGATTGCAAGAACATATCTCTTAAAAGGAAAAAAACCTAATGCACAATATTTACCAATACTTAAATAATCCAGTTGAAACCTTTTTTTTTTTTGTCATTAATGAAAAAAATACAACATAGAAGGTTACCTATACTGAGAAGAGCAGAAATGACAGAAGTCGGGGAGAGGACAAAGAAAGTCCATTCTAGAGCTTTGCAAGATTCATATATACAGCACCAGATCCTTTAAATCAGCTCCCTTGAGTCAGTACAGTTTGTGAGAAATGAACACTTCAGAGTTGCAGTATAAAATATGGCCATAAAAAACTTCTGTCTTCCAGTCCTGTGCAGGAAGGCGCACCATGCAAGGTGGGATCGCTCTGGGTGGCTGATGGCACTGGTGGCCCCTGGGGGTCCCCTTCCCTGGCTCTGCCCGAGGCCCCGCCCCTGGGCCCCACCTCCAGAGCCAGTCACTTGCTTCCAGTGTGCACTGTCGTCACAGTGGTGGGCCTCGGTCTCCGCTCGGCTCCCACTCCTGAGACCCCTGATGAAGAGGAAATGAAACTACAGAGCGTAGAGGGTGCCAGACCTGCAGGGGACAGTGGACACAAAAATTCAGAACTTCAGAAGGAAATACTCTCCCTTCTTATTGCAAGGGTTTGTGAGGGGGCCAAACTTCTATACATTGGATTCTAAATTTTTATCTACCCATAGGAAAGCATTTGCAATGTCCAGAATGCTTTTCTTTTAGACCCAACTCTTCCCTCCTTTTTTCATTATACTTATAACTGCTTTGTATTTTAATAGGACATGATTTAGCCACCATAATATGACAGGTTCCATTAATGAGCGCTTACTACGTACTATGAATCGGGCTAGGTGCTGAATATACACTGTCATTATGAGAACAGCAGCTCCATGAAGTAGTTATTTTAAGAATGAAGAGAGAATGTGACAGCCCCTTATGGTCCCTGCTTGGTGTGTGGTCTGTGCTCTTGGCTAAGGAGCATCTTGGAGAGCATCGAGATGGGCTGTGTACCTACTCCTGTGTGTGCTGTGGCTCAGGCCTGGGCACGTTCCTCACGGACTGCAGTCCAGTGCTGCCCAAGCAGAAGTGTTGGTACCCGGAGGTCTGAATGGGGGTGAATCCACTGAGCTAAGCCAGCAGTATTTCCTCCCATAGACTCTGTAGTCTTGGAAGATCCACAAAATAAATGGTTATGATGGCTTCACTGTCACAGCCATTGTATGAATCTTCCAAGAAATGATCGACTGTGAGCTTCCTCTGAGCAGAGGGTGGAAAGGATCTGTGCTGAGCTGCAAATGTGGGTCGACGGCAGTGTGTAGTTGGGTCAGGGGACACTGGTGGAGATCTCTTGGAAAAATTGAAGGGCTGGACATTCCTGAATGAGATGGAAGGATTATTTAGTGATGAAGCAAACTTTTTCCTAAGGGCAATGGAAAGAAATGTGATGCTCAGAAGAAACCAAGCTGAAGGGTGCTCAGTGGCTCAGGAGACGAGGGCTGATGGGGAAGATCAAGGCAACTGCTCACAAGTGAAGAGGAGCCCTTGGCCTGGCCTGATACGAGATTAAGATAAACGTGCAGCGGGCGGGGGTGGGAGAGCGAGATAAGGAGAGTGTAAGTGCACCCTCAATGACCTAAATTCCATGCAAAGATGAAGGACAATGAAATACTATTACTATTACTTTGACTGTAAAGCTAATGCATTTTATATAAATCAGCTCTAATGATCATCCTCCTCATCAGAAAATAATATGAAAAGCCAATGAGAACAGGCCCCCAGGAGGCTCTGCTCTCTCTTCCTCACCCATTAGAAGTGACTCACAAGGACAAGCAAAGCATAAGGCAAGGAGACAGAGAAGAAAGTGTCTGGGCTTTTATCCAGACAGACATGACCTTGAAGCCCAGATTCCTCATCTATACATGGAAGTTAGAGTGCCTAGGGTTGTGTGAATCTTAAATAATTAATTTCTGGAATGTAAATTGGTGCGGCCACTATAAAAATCAGGATGGAGGTTCCTCAAAAAATAAAAATAGAGCAGCATATGACCCAGCAAGCCCTCGTCTAGGTATCTACCTGAAAAAATTGAGAACACTTATTTGTAAAGATGTATGCACCCCTATGTTCACTGCAGCATTGTTTACAGTGGCCAAGACACGGAAACAACCGAAGTATCCTTCGATAGATGATTGGATAAAGGTGCAGTACATACACATAATGGAATACTACTCAGCCATAAAATGAAATACTGCCATTTGTGACAACCTGGGGGATCTTGAGTGTCATTCTAAATGAAATAAGTCAAACAGAAAAGGACAAGAACCATATGATTTCACTTGTATGTGGGATATAAAACAGAAAGCCAGAAACAAACAAATAAACTCATAGACACAGATACAGCGTGATGGTTTCCAGAAGGAAAGAGAAATGAGGGGAGGATAAGGAGGATAAAGGGGTCAATTACAAGGTGAAAGAAGTAAACTAGGCTGGGGGGTGAGCACACAGTAGAGTATACAGGTGTATCATAAAGACATATACCTGAAACTTGTACAATGTTATTAACCAATGTCGCCCCATTAAATTTGATAAAGAAAGAAAATATTTTTAAAAATTAAATCATGTGCTAGGGTTGTTGGGAGTGTTAAATGGGATAAACTATTGAAAGTGCCTGACATACAGCAGGTACCCGGCTAACGACAGTGCTCTCCTCTGTACCCCAGATGTGTCTTAAATGCCAGCTAAAAAGTTCTGTTTTTGCTACATACGCACAATCATTTTGGCTGGCCAAACTGAGGCTGCTCGGAACACTTGCATTCGAACTGTCCAGGCTGCTGCCGAGATGGAGTCTTCTCATGTGTCTCACAACGGCGGTGGCGTTAAATGCTTGCTGAAATTTAAGAAAGTAAAAATCCAGACAAAATAATTCCAGTTAATGAAAAAGATGCAGACTGTCTCCTATTATTTTTCCTGTTACCCTAAGCATTTCAAACTTCTGAAAATGTTCTCATGATACTCTACAAAGTACATTGCCCCTTCTTCCAAAAGAGTACTGACGTATCTGACCCCTCTGCCAATCAAAATATATTTTGGAGAAAAACATGTTTTTCTTCTGACATAATCAACATACAGAATAAATGTAAACCAATTCTCTCTATAATCTAAGAGAAGTGACTTTTAGAACAAAAGGCACCTTATAATAATATAGTACCTTAAAATATGACATTTTAAAATAATTTAAATTTTCCTATTACTGGTGATTTTGTCCTAAATAATAGCATTTCCTCTAAATAAAAGAAATTGGTGGAATTAATTTTGTTTCTGTATGGTCTCTCACTGTTGGCACTTATACCCACGCTGGTTAGAACACAGGATTTAGGTAACTGGTCAATAATCACAAAACCTCAATGGTTTACGTCCATCACAGTATTTTTGTTGTTGTTAATCCTCACCCAAGGATATTTTTTCCACTGATTTTTAGAGAAAATGGAAAGGACAGAGGGAGTGGGGGGTAGAGTTGGGGTGGGAAGAAACAGAGAAACATGGATGTGAGAGACATCAATTGGCTGCCTCCTGCATGTGCCCCGACTTGGCCCAGGGACTGAACCTGCAACCCAGGTACATGCCCTTGACCGGGAGTCAAACCCTTGACCCTTCAGTGCGCGGGCTGATGCTCTAACCACTGAACAACACTAGCCAGGGCTACATCCATCACATTTTTATCAGAAATTATGGATGGATTCAACTCAGACTTCCCGTTCGTTTCCCCTTCACGTCATTTTATTACAAGTCGACTGCCCAAAGTTCCAGCAAAGTGGAGAAAACAAGGATCATGTTAAGCCACAGCAAATAAGTTGGACCTGGCACTATTGCTGTTTTTGACTTACAGAAGGGAAATATTAAATCATAGACTTCATTCCATCTCACACTGTGATACTCCCTTCTAGTCTTCATCGTTACTGGTTAAAATTAGCAAAATTATTTGGGTGAGATTCTGGGGATTTTCATCAAATGCAGAAAACAGAAACCCACAGAAATAAAAAATGTTCAAATGGCAAGGCAAGTTTTCATGCAAGTGTTTAAACTCACTGGGAATCTGATCAACACAAGACTTACTCTCCATTTGCTCTTGGCAAAGTTCTTCCGGATCTGGGCGCTGACGGACTCGTGGATGTTTTTGTTGAGGGCTGTGTCACCTGCGATCCTGAAACACAGGCAAAGATACTTCTTCTAAAGGGTTTCTTCGGGGCTCTGGCACTGGCCCTGCTTTCCCAGAGAAGCCCCACCCCGGCCTCTCCCGAGGTCTGCTGCGAGGCTGGCCTGCCCCTGCCCCGCCAGGCTGCTCACATCCCTCCCCGGCTCATCAGACTGCACACGATCCACTGCTGCGCTCGAAGTGCTGACGCAGATCTACACGCTGCAGCCTCTCCAGAACGGGCCAGCACCTGCGTGCTTGACCTCTGCCTGGCTCTCACTTTCCCTTTTTGACTCCCATTCCTGCAACATCCACAATGACGACACAACCTAAACCGAGTTTCCATCCTTCTCCCCCTCCCTCCACACCAGTTTTCTACCTGCAGCACTCTGCCTCCACCATCTCAACTGTGTTCTCTGCCTGGTCGGACCAGGGCCTTCTTCCTGGCTCCCTCCTCCCCGAGGCCCCTCTCTCTGCCTTCTCTGGGCCCTCCTTCCCAGGGACCAGCTCCCGTCCGTGGGCTCACATCTCCCTCCTGGTTCCATCCCAGCTGAACTAAACTCTGCAGTGTTCCACTTGCCTCTGACCTCACCCTGGCACCCAGCCCCTTCTGTGGGCTCGGGCAGAGGGTTCCTAGCCTTAGCTCAGCTCTGCTTGGCACATCTAATCTTGAATTTCCCAAATAAACTCTCATAAATGCCAGGACCATGTCCATTTTTCATTCAACTGGGTCCTTGATATTACTGGACATCAGTTCTTGCTTGTCCCTTAGCTTTCTATTAGCAAGGAAGAACGTAGGTTTACTCTTTACCTCCTGTCCTTGGAGTTTCTCCTCATCCTATGACTTCCTCCCTCTGCTCCCACCCATTTTAACCTCCCTCTTCTCTCTCAGCTTACAACCTCTCCAGTCTTAGTCATCACCTGGAGGTCACCCACAGCCCATTCTTCTCCAACACATCCCTTCTCAACCCCACACCATCCTCCTCCCGCACCCAGCCACGGCTTCCCAGGTGCAGAGGAAGCTGTATTCTGCACTCAGTCTTCCAGGCTCAGATCATTCCATCTTCCCTTTCCTTTTCAGCAATTCAGAAATTCTACATTGATAGCTGATGCCTACAAAATAATTTCTTGCATGTTGGAAAAGTTAAAACGCAGACAGATGCTGGGGACACGAACCATCCTTTCTGGCTGGAAGGTATAGGAGAAAACCTGTCATCTCCCAGACCCAGAGGGTCCTGGACACAAAACAGCTTGGACGCCAGACTATTGGGTCCACATGTTTTAGGAAGTGAAAGAAAGATGTTTAAAGTTTTTTTCAGACAAGAAATACTCCCAGGATAAAAAACATGTTCCTATCTACCCAGCCTTTCACTTTAGAACTGAAAACATGGTTGAGGGACTGGACATTAAATCTGTGCCAGGCTGGGTCTACATTTTGAATACAGTCTGATGTTCCTGCTAAAAGCAGCTCCCCATACAGACGTCTGTCTTGTTCCCAGCAGGGCTGAAAATACTTAGCCAAGAGGACACTCAGATCCTAACTGTCATGAACCAGATTTCCACTTCCAACAACTGTCAATCATCCCCTCCCCAGACACACAGAGTGAATAGAAACAGGATCTCCGAGTGGGCAAGCCATCCAAAACCACAGTAACGAGGAGCTGAGCGGGCTGTAGACATCTTTATAGGCTTTTTCTCCTAGAGAGCTAGTGCGAGTATTCCTCCTACACTGTTCATAAAAGCTACATCCTCGGAAAGGGAGTCCGCTCCCCCTTATCGGTGGCCAGCTCTTTCTTGGAAACAGCTGCACAGAAGGGGTAGGAAGTATGTGATTCGTGGAGCTGAGCACAGCCACAGTGCAGATCCACCCTCCAAACCAAACAGACCCGTGAGCAGGCAGGGAGACTCCCTTCTCTGTGGGTGAGCATGGCCCAGATGGAAGGAAAATGCACACTTCCAGTTATTTCAGGAATGTCCGTGCTCACTTCCTGTAGTCCTGGAGTAGCCTGTGCTAGGGAAGGGCAGACGGTGGTCCATAGGCGCCCTGTGGGCAGTCGTCCTGGGGGTGCAGCCACCTCGGGCCTGACAGCACAGGCTCTTCCCCCTTGAGCACCGGGATCAAAGCAGCAGCTGCTGGTCACAACGGGCTAGAAAGGTCATGATGACGAGGTGCTATGTGCACGGCACTCATTGCTACTAGGTTCAGCATTATTATCAACAAAAGGAGGCACGAAGTCTTAAACATCAAGAAGTCTTAGTTGTCATCTCAGTTGTCATAGGAATGCATGATGCCTCCGACACAGGAGAATGTCCTTATAGGTCACACACACACACTCACACACACACACTCAGGTCTCCTACTCACCCTTCTTTTCAGTTTGTATCTCTACTCCAACACTGCAGGTGGCATTTATATAAAGCACACTCTGTCCTCCTCCACACACACAGCATCAAGCTCATCTCTCCTGGCCTTCGGTGTGCTTGTGTTTTATACACAGGCTGTTCTATGTCCACGGTCTGATTTTGCATTTTTCTAGCCACTTACTCAAGATAGGCTTCGGGATGCCCATGTGTCTGTCAGGGGTCTCCCAGATTCCTGGGCTGTGTCCTAATTCCAGTGTGACTGGATGGAGACAGAAGACAGGAGGGGTCTCCATGAATAGTGAGAAGAGGGCTGCAGGTACCACCCTGGCCTGGAGGACACAGAAGGTCCCGAAGGTGGCATACTGATGATGCCATGGACACTGTGTCACAGGGGCACCGACACCCAGGATCATCACTTTGGTTTGCTTGTCACTGACACTGGAGTTTGAGGTTCACAACAATTTGAAACAGAAAAATGTACTAAGGTGCTTCCCTCATAACCAGAAACGGGTTCCTACATGCCACTTGCCATTCCCAATTCGTCAGCCATAAGCCAGCAGCCTGCTGATCCTTTCCACGCACCACTGAGAGAGAGGCAAGACCTCCAGGGAGGGCTCAGGAAACAACTGCTGACATGGGCTGACTGCCCTCTACAAGGAGACCCCTCCTGTCGGGACTGGTCTGTTTAGAGGCTAAGGGAAGGCATCTGTGACTTCCAGAGGCTTCTCTTGGCCCTAGGTGGCCTTGATTGTGCAGGAAGAGCAAGTGCAGAATACGAGAAGCCACCCTCTGAAGAGAGTTGATGCGTGTAGACCACAGCTTCCAGAATGGTGGTGCTGACAGAGCTGAGCCTCATCGGAAACCCACTCCACTCTCTGCGGGCTCTCCGCTAAATCCCTGTTCTCTGCTGGGGCTTCTGCATAAAAGAAACAGGCAGATCTTACAGGCGAGCAAGTGGGGCATTTTCAATGATGCGTGAGTCAAATGCATTCTTTTTTTTAGTCAATCATTTTCCAATGTTTGACTTCTTGGGAATTTTGAAATGAAAGTAAAATTATAAAACACGGTGGGGGAGGGAAACACCTCTGAAGAAGGCATTTATTTGTTCAGCTCACATGCTAACATCTTAATGTGATCCACTATGCTGATGACTCAGGCCTTCATCTCTTGCTCAACCTTTCTCCTGAGCTCAGACTCATTCAGCAAAGCACACACCACATGTCCATCTAGGTGACCCCAGCATCTTTCTCCTCTTTCACGCAAGCCTGCTTGCTCTCCTAGCACAATCATCCTCCCGGTCCCCTAAGGTGAAAATTCAGCAGTAACAACCTCAGACCCCTCCTTTGCCTCACCTCACCCGCCAGTGCCCTGTCCAAGACCTGCAGTTTCCCTGCCAGGGGGGTGTCTCTCGTGGTCTTCTTCATGCCTGTGCAATGGGCAGGTCACATTCACCCTTCTCTGGGCCAGCTCCTCTCTACCTCCTGTCTGCACCTTCCCGCCCCCTCCCATGCCCATCTCCACAAGCCACTTTTATTGGGCAGCCAGGTTGAGCTTTCTGAAATGCTAACCTGATCACCCTGCTAAAACCTGTAAGGGGACCCCACTGTCCAAAGGGAAAAGTACCAGTTCCTTAGTACAATACTAAAAGACTGGCAATTCACATAGATTGGAGATTTATTAGGTACTAGGTACTCTTCTTTTTTTTTTTTTTTGTACGTATTATCTCATTATATATCTGTAGGATATATACTCCTATTATTTATGATCTCAATTCTACAGGGAGGCCCAAAGGGTCAAGGAGCTTGCCCACCACTCAGGAACAGTGGTGGAACCAGGACTTGAGCTCAAGCAGGAGACGCCAAGGCTCAGGCCAGAACCCTCATTCTGCCTTCCTCTCCAGTCTCATCTTCTCCTCGCTCCTCTGTCTCTCTTACTCCAGGAACACCTAGCGCGGGGGCACGAGGGAAGATGTGCCGTGTAAGCCGCCAGGCAAGACCCTGGTCGCTCACCGGGCCCGGAACCCCTCCCCATCCTGATGACCTGGTGGGAGTTCTCACAGTGTGAGGCCCAGCCTCTCTGTGAAGTCTTCTCCACTCTGCTGAGGCCGCCCTGTCCCTCTGCCAGGCCCTTCAGTAAAAATGACCTCTCCCTTCTTTGATTTTTCAAAAATGGCTGGTGAAGGAGAAACTGGGTTTTAACTGGCCTCCTTCCTGCCTTCCAAGAAGTGAGGCTGGATGAGTGTACACGTATTTGGAAGCCAATCACTTCCCTTCTTTTGAGGTAATTTTCCCTCTTTATAAGATAATCCCCCAAAGTCTCAGACATACAAGATAAACGAGGACTGGGGATGTAATGTACATGACGACTAGGGTTAACACCACTGTATGGTAACTCCTAAAGGTCCTCATTATAAGGAAAAACAGTTCTTTTGTAACTATATAAGGTGATGGATGTTAACTTAACTTATTGTGGTAATCATTTCACAATAAATACGAATGTCAAGTCATTCTGCTGTACACCTTAAACTTTCACAGTGTTGTATGTGCATCAATTATATCACAATAAAACTGGAAAAAAAGTCCTATAGATTTAAAAGCCTATTGTTTATAAAGTAAGAAAACTTTATGGTAACATACTTTGACCTATTGTCCAAAGTGACTTACTAAAAAAAAAAGATACATAATCAAAACTGCCTCCTTATTCAGAAAAGTCTTTATTCCCCCCTCTGTGCCCCCCCCCCCAATCCCCAGCCCATTCCTTCCTTCCCCTTTATCTGCAGGGTGGTGAAGAGCATCCACGTTGGAGTCTCACAGTTCTGGCTGGAAACAGTGCTGGCTTTGCCATTACCTAATGCACTGCCTTGGCCAAGTTACTTTATCTTTCTAAATCCACTTCCTTATCTCTGACATGGAGGCAAAGCCTACCTTACAGGGTTATTGTAAAGAAATGACATGAGATGCTATTTTAATGCAATCAGTACAGTGCCTGGAACATAATAGGTGCTCTCTGGGGTTAACCAGCATACAGATCCTGGAGGAAATGCTACCAGAGATGGTGGAATACACAAGGGGACAGTCTTCTACACTGTTTCCTAGGGGGAATTTCTCCTGAACTCAAGGTTCTGTCCGTTCATTTTCACTACACTGCATACTTTACTACCCCTGGCCTTTGTTTCAAATGGATGCTCCTGGTGCTTTAGCAGTAATAACAGCTTAATGGAGTATTGTGCCAATCCCTGATTCACATGCATTATCTCAATGTTGCTTATTTCAACCCTGTAAACTAGGTATCAGTATCCTCATTCTAAAGATGAGAAAACTGGGGCTCAGAGAAGTTAAGTGTGAACCCAAAGTCACAGCTAGTTGATCGTGAAGGTGGGTTCATATCTACCAAGTGGCACAAAAACAAGGTGTCCTCAAGGGCACTACTGAAAATGTGCACAGAATGCCGTAAACATTCAACAAGTCCCTCTGAGCGAAGAAACACTAACTTGAAAAGCATCTTAAAAGGAAAAATATATATAATGCAATTCAGTTAACTACTGAGTAATAAGCTCAAGAAATAAAACTCCCATCTTAATGCCTTGTTGGCAATCACCTTCAATAAAAATGATCCTTAAAAAATTCATGCACAGTGAGAAAGCCACAGCTATCTTTCACACACCTAACTTGTCATTAGAGCATTTAGAAGATTGAGCCTGAGGGAACAAAGATTCCGAGTGCTGGCATGGGGACAAGATTGAGGCCACCGGCCAGAGTGAAATGCAAGCATTGCTGGGCTTTCCCAGGTAGTGACAGCTAGCAGGAAGTTCCCCCGGGAAGGCAGTGGACACACAGGCTCTCTTACCATGGGTGCCGAGCTGCCTGCTCACACGTGTATCTTTTATTTGGATCTTTCTCCATCAGATTCCGAATGAAGTCTTTTGCTGTTCAGAAAGAAGGCACAAGGGAAGGAATCAGTATGTAGCTTGAAATGTGATACCAGCTGGTCTCTGAGTTGGGACTTTGCTTTCCCAACTCGAAGTCTCTTCCCTCTGGCAGCCAAGACAATTTTGGTTCAGAGATGAACTATCTTTGTCACCATGGACCTTTCATTCCACTCTCTGCTGCCATAGGTAGATGATTTGTTGATGTCCTCTCCATGTTTTAGATGTCACGGGTTCAACAAAACCCCCGGAGCATCTGCAAGCCGGCCAGGTCTTGGACCAGGCGTCACAGTGAGATGTACCCTTGTGGGAAGTGGAGAGTGTTTGGAGGCCCAGGATCAGTAGGACCCGACAACAGGACACTGAGAACATGCGAGACCGGGTCATGGAATCAGAAGATGACACCTGTGGGCCAAGCTAGAAATCTGCAGCCTCATAGGGTCTGGCAGCTCACTGCCCACAGGCCTGGGCCTCTAGGGGAAGGCTGTGCCCTTCCCAGGTCAGAAATAAAATATTCCCTGTGTGACTCTTTCCTGCAAGCCTTGGAAAACTGTTCTCTAGGTTTTGGAAGATTGAGGAAGGAAGCAGATATTTCCAGTTAGGAAGAAATAGCACAAATAATAAAATGTAATATTTGAATAGCTCATCAGTGAGTACATGTTCTGTTCATTTATTATTTTATTTGATTCTTATAGCACCCTTCTTGATAGGAAGTATTACTACTGTCCTCTTCATATCAGCTTGAGAAATCTCATCAGTTTACATGGGCCTTGGTTTTTATCTTTATCCCCAAGGACAAAACACAGAACTTCCCTGGGAATGTTGTAGTGGGCCTGGTAGCTAAGACATGGACTCCAGAGTAAGGCTTGGGTTTGAGTCCCAGCTCTGTCACTTACTACCTGTGTGACTTGAGACAAGTTATTTCACCTTCCGGGCCTCAGTTTCCTCATCTGTCCAATGGGGATACTAGTAATACCATCTTATAGGTTGTCCTGAGGATTGAGTGAGGTAGAACATGTGTATAGCTTACAGGGCTCAGCACATAGTAGGCACTCAACAAATACTAGGCAATGCGGTTTCACTCCTGGGACACCCAGATCATGGCAGGCTAGGACTTAGTGGAGGAGTGAGTCCCTGTCCCCTGACTTGATTGGGGCCCCTTGTCCCAAGTCTGTCCTCCACTTTGCAAGTCAAGCCCAACTGTACGCTGTCCTGAGCCCCTCCTCCCCCACACCTGTCAGGGTCAGGTTGTCCTGAGCCCCTCCTCCCCCACACCTGTCAGGGTCAGGTGAGGGTGTACCATCCCAGGACCGCCCACCAGGAGCCAAGACTTACCAGAGTCAGAGATGTCATCCCAGTAGGGGGAGTCAAACTCATACTCTGCCTTGAGGATCTGCTCAAAGAGCTTGGAGTCATTTTCATCATAAAAAGGAGGGTAGCCACAGAGCCTGGAAGACAGGAAGAAGTTAAGGATCTGAAACACTTCATCCCCAGTACAGTGGTTAGACACCTGCCTGGAAGGAAGGGCGTTTTCACTCCAGCTGAGAAAACCCGCAGTGTGCGCTCCAGACACAATCTCAGCAAAGGGATCACGCGTTCTGTCGGCCCAGGTGGCACAGAAGTAAACATGCGATTAAATAAGTAACAAAAAGGACTAACTCAGATGATAACTGAGGTCCACCTTGACTCTGCACATTATTCAGCACAGAGTCCCATACATCCTAAAAACCAACCAGACAGCCTTCTGTGTATAAATGTTATCGATTTTATTGTCTGTGACACTGTCCCTTTATAGATAGATGATGGTTCAGTGGAAAAAAACAAAGAAAATATTAAGTTTACTATACATTTTAGGGCTCCTTCCAGGTTCATTTTGTTTTTTAATCCTCACCCGAGGATACATATTTTTTCCATTTATCTTCAGATAGAGTGGGAGGGAGAGAGAGAAGCATCGACTGGTTGCCTCCCTCATGACTCTGACCAGGGCCGGTGACCAAACCACAACCAAGGTATGTGCCTTTGACCAGAATTGAACCTGTGATTCTTTGATCCGTGGGCTGTCGCACTAACCACTGAGCCAAACCAGCCAGGGCGCAGGTTCATTTTGTTTACCAAATCATCACAGGAAAAAAGGAGATTTTATCAGCATGAGTTCCAAGTTGCCACAAATCACCCTAACCTGAACATTGTCACCCTATTATGACCAAACCAGGTCTTTGAAAGGTTATAGTTTTGCTCATTAATATGCAATAAGCATAAACAGAAGTTGGCACAAATTAGAATACCATTGCCCTTTTCCACTGAACCCTTTCAAAGATTGGGATGTTGTATAGTTCTAGAGATACCCACAGTCATCTGACAAAGCAGGAGTAGACATTTTTATTAAATACCCCAAATACAAATCATTCCATAAAATCCTAGGTTCTCACTCCAGTTCCGATGTCACCTCCAATGCAACCTTCACCATTCATAAGCCATTGACCCTTTTTCTGGACCTAAATTTTCTCATCTGAACATGAAGCAGACAGACCAGAAAATTCCCAATATTATTTCTGTCTTTAAGATACTGTGGATCTAATGATTCCCTGTCCCAATTTGTTTGGCTCATCAAGACCCAGGGGAAGATCTAGTGTGTGCTTGGGGTCCAGGCGGGGCCGAGACAGGCCCTGGTTGGGACCGCACAGTCGGGAAGAGGTAGGATTGAGGTAGGATTGAGGCAGGGGCGGTAAGTGGTAGGCAGAGCAGAAGGCAGGGCTGGATTCCGGAAGGCAAGGTGCAAGGCTGACAGCACAGAACTCCCCCTCCACAGCGCAGAGGGAGTTCTGCTCCCAAATGAGCCCTGGATCTTCCCACATAGCCAAACTTTATTCAAAACACCACTACGGCCCAGAGACCAGCTTAATGAGAACAAATTAACAGGAACCAACAGACTCCAGGCCTGCAAGGGATGAGGCTTGTCAGCAAATAAGAAATATAATAATGGTTCAGAACAGCCCTGGTACAATCCTTCCACTACTCCTGCCACAAAAAGTAGCGTCACCAGTCAGGCTGCACAGGAGCGGATGACACCTTTAAGGCTGTCTGACCTCCTTGCACTGATATGATTCTAAAGCATCTATTCCCACAAGGCTGATTTAGGGTCTAAGTGCCTGGAAAATTTCATTTGTAAAGATTGCTACTTTTGGTGAAATGAGTAAGAGCCAGTGCTTCTGAAACCACCAAGCACGTATTCACTGCCCAGGAACCTCTGGGGCTGGGATGGATATGTAAATGTTCCGTACAATGAGGACTTGGACTGAAAGAAATGTGCATATTAGGAAAAGCAGACAGAGCAAAATGTTAGTGTGTCTTGGAAAATAACTGAACTTTAGATATGTGAAGTTTCTGTTTATTAACAATGGCGTGTGTTCTACTTTACAGTCTGGCTTTCTTTTCAAGGGAAAGAAATCCTTAAGAAAACTCCAAGAAAGATTTTTTTTCTTCCTGTGCCAATGTTCTTAATGTATATCCCAATTTCTTCTGGTTTTAGCTCTTTTCTTGGGGAGGAAAAGTAACAGAATACTGTGTTAATGTGCCCGTACTGAGGATGGAAGAAAAGGGACTAGATCTAGTTTAGAGACTAAATTAAAATTTTAAAAGAGGATTTCAAAGTAAGGATTGTAGAAGAACAGGGGTTGTAAAATCTTCCTCAGATCGAGACACTTCACAGAGCTCCCTGGCCAGGCTACTTCATCAGTAGGTGCGTGTGGCAGGCCCAAACAGGAGAAACAGCAGCTTTGCCCTGTTTATCTCCACGCACAGAACACTGACACCCGTGGTCCTGGACCTGCCTATTTGCATATGTGATCTCCATGTGATTGTTTTACATACCAAGCCACTTAAATAATTTATAAATTATTTCACTATGGCTACTCAAAGACAATAAAGCCATTCTCAATGGTTCTCAGCATAAAAGTGTATGGTTCAGAATAACATCTCAACTTGCCAACCCCATGACAAGCAGCCATGCCCAATACAGGCAGCACACCTTCACAGGGCTCATCCATCCCAGAGTTCTGCTTTTCCTTAGAGCTGCTGGCACCAGAAACAGATAAAAATGGTCAGAAGGGAGCTGGTATCAGGATGGTGGCAGGCAATGAGAAGTCACCTCACACTTGTAAAAATGGGTATTATAAAAAAAATAAAAGTAACTATTGGCAAGGATGTGGAAAAAAGGGAACTCTTTCATGCTGTTGGTGGAAATAAAAAATGGTGCAGCCACTATGGAAAACAGTATGGAATTTCCTCAAAAAATTAAAAATAGGCTGTGGCCGGTTCAATTTCGGTCAAGGGCACGTACCTGAGCTGCAGTTCGTCCCAGGCCCTGGCTGGGGTCCTGTGGGAGGCTCCGAGTCGATGTGTCCCTCTCACATCGATATTTCTCTTTCTCTCCCTCTCCCACTCTCTCTCCTTCCCTCCTTCCATCCCACTCTAGCTGAAGGAAAATGGAAATATATCCTCTGGTGAGGATTTAAAAAAAATTAAAAATAGAACGACCACATGATCCAGCAATCTCACTTCTAGGTATATACCCAAAGGAAAGAAGATCAGTACCTTGAATATTCTCTCTCTCTCTCTCTCTCTCTCTCTCTCCTATGTTCATTGCAGCATAATCCATAGCCAAGAAATGAAAATATTTTTTTTATCATCACCTGAGAATATTTTTCCATTGATTTTCACATAGAGTGCATGTGTGTGTTGTTGTTGGGGGAGGGCACTGATGTGAGAGAGACACATTGATTGGTTGCCTCCCACACGACCCCAACCAGGGCCAGGTATCAAACTGCAACTGAGGCATGTGCCCTTGACCAGGAAAGAACCTGCAACTCTTTGGTCTGCCGGCCGACGCTCTAACTGCTGAGCCAAACCAGCCAGGGAAGAAATGGAAATAATTTAAGTGACCATTGATGGATGAACAGGTCAAAAAATTGTGATATGCATGTATTTATATATCATAATTTGATACATATATAGTAATATTGTTCTCGATACATATATAGTAATATTGTTCATCCTCATAAAAGAAGACGATCTAGCCATTTGCAACAACATGGAGAACCTGGAGGACATTACACTAAGTGAAATAAACCAGACACAGAAAGAAAAAACTGCATGACCTCACTTATATTTAGAAGCTAAAAAAGTCAGATACATAGAATGAGAGAGCTAAACAGTGATTACCAGGGGTGGGGAGGTGGGAGAAATGGGAAGATGTTGGTCAAAGGGGACTAAGTTGCAGTTATGTAGGATGAATAAGCCCAGAGATCTAATAGGCAGCATGAGGACTAAAGTTAATGACACTGCGTTATATCCCGGCAATTTGCTAAAAGTAGATTTCAGAATGCAAAATAAATAGTATACAATACAAAAAAACAGTAACAATGGAAGAAAAATGTTAATGAGCTTGACTGTTAGTAATGACTACACTAGTATATGCATATCAACTCATCATGTATACCTTAAATATACACAATTTTTTTTTAAAGAAAAAATGGTGGTAGAAAATGTACCAGCCATGTTTAATATCATGGAGTGACTTTTTAAAATAGTGTTATTGTGCCCTGGCTAGCGTTGCTCAGTGGTTAGAGCGCTGGCCTGTGCACCAAAGGGTCACAAGTTTGATTCCCGGTCAAGGGCATATACCTAGATCTCTGGCCTTAGGAGGGTACGAGCAGGAGGCAGTCAATCGATGTGTCTCTCTCACATAGATGTTTCTCTCTCTTTCTCCCCTCCCTTCCACTCTCTCTAAAAATCAATGGAAAAAAAAATATCCTCAGGTGAGGATTAAAAAAATAATAATAATAAGTAAGTTAATTAAAAAGTGTCATTGTGGTAAGAAAATTTACCATGAGATTTACCCTCTCAACAAGTGTTTAAGTGTACAATGCAGTCTTATTGACTATAGGCACAATGTTGTACAGCGATCTCCAGAGCTTATTCAACTTGACCCCACTGATTAGTAACTTCCCATGTCCTCTCCCCCAGCCCCTGGCAACTACCATTTGACTCTCTGATTCTATGAATTTCACTATTTTAGATACCTCATTTAAGTGGATCATGCTGTATTTGTCTTTCCTCAAGCTTTATCTATGTTGTCACGTATTTCAGGTTACTTTTCTTTTTAAAGGCTGAATAATATTCCATTGTGTGTATATACCATATTTTCTTTATCCATTTCATATATCAATAGATATTTAAGTTGCTTCTATATTGTGGGTATTATGAACAACACTATCATAAACATGGGAGTGCTAAAATCTCTCTGAGATCCTGATTTCAATTATTTTGGACATATACCCAGAAATGGGTTTGAGGGATCGTATAGTAGTTCTATTTTTAATGTATTGAGAAACCCCGATACTGTTTTTCATAGTTGCACCATTTTTCATTTCCAACAACACTGTCTTTT